TATCAATATGGCTAACAGATTTTTAGGTCACCAGAGCACAGGCACTTGATTATGTATAATAAAGTTTTTAGCCCATAGTATAATAATAACACTGTTATTATTATACTATGGGTTAAAAAATTTATTACCAAAACAAGTGCCTGTGCACCAGAGTCACTCAGGTGAGGCAATTTCAACCAGTTTGGGTATATAGCATCAACGGGTGAAGGGGTACAAATTTGTGAATTTTATGGTCCCTGCCCCCTCCCCCAGGCCTGAGGGGTGGGACTAAAACCATCAAAATTAGTGCTATCTTTTGAACATATAGTGAAAATGCATGCATAAATTCTTTTTTGAAAAATCTTATGATGGTTATGATGAACAAGGGTGCCTCTTAATAATACATGTATTATGAAATTTGTGGCCCTAAGTTCAGGGATTCTGTTGGTGGTTGTGGGTGTGTGTGTGTGTGGGGGGGGGGGGGGGTCTAAACCTTCTTCTCTGTTCCTGGGTATTTAGCAATTCCATGGCCCCTGAGGTTCTGGTGTAAGGGATAGGCTATATTGATTATATAGTGAAAATGCATATATTCTTTGAAAATTCTCTTCTCTGCACCTGAGTATTTAGCAGATAATCTAAGAAGGTTATGGCGAGCAAGTGTGTTTCTTCCAAAATTGTGAAAATTGTGGTCCCAGGGTCAGGGGTTCTAGTGTTGAGGAGGTATTGATTATTTATTGAAAAAGAATTATTTTTTTTGAGAATATTCTCTGCTACTGGGTATTTAGCAGATAAACTAAGTTCAGAGTTATGGTGAGCAATGGTGTTTCTTCCAAAATTGTGAAATTTCTGGCCTCAGTTTCAGGGGTTCTGGTGGTGGAGGTGAGGTGGGGGGGGGGGGGGTGAGCTCTATTGATTATATATTGAATATGCCATATGACTTTGAAAATCTTTTCTGCTCCTTGGTATTAAGCAAACAAATGAAGTGCAAAGTTATTATGAGCAAGGATGCCTCTTCACATATTGTGAATTCCATGGCCCTTGCATCAGGGGATCTGGTACATCAGATGTATTAGGTTGTGGCTATTTTGATTATATAGTGAAAATGCATAAATTCTTGGAAAAAAATTCTTCTCTGCTCCTTAATTGGTATTTAGCAGATAAACAAAGTGCATAGTATTTAGCATTGATAAAAAAGTGCATAGTTATGGTGAGCAAGGGTGTTTCTTCCAAAATTGTGAAGTTTGTGCCCCCAGGGACTGGGGGGAGGGGGGGGGGACTCTATAGAATATATATTGAAAATGTATTATTTCTTTCAAATTACTACTGGATATTAAGAAAACAATGTAAGTGCATTGTTATGATGAGCAAGGGCACCTCTTCCAAAATTATGAATTTCATGGCTTCTGGGTGAGGGGTTCTGGTTTTAGGCCAGGGCTCTATTGATTATATAGAGAAAAACCATTAATTCTTCGAAAATCTTCTGCTCTGCTCCTGGGTATTTAGCAGATAAACCAAGTGCATGGCTATAATGAGCAAGGGTGTTTCTTTCAAAATTTTGAATTTCATGACCCCTGGGTTAGGGATTCTAGTGTTAAAGCAGGGCTCTATAGATCAGATATTTTAACTGCATAATTATTTGAAAATCATCTTCTCTGCCTCTGGGTATTTAGCAGACAAACTAATTGCATAAATTCTTTACATATGTTTTTCTCTGCTTGTTGATATTTAACCAACATACGAATTGTATGGTTAAGATGTGCATAGGTATTTCCTCCGAAATTACAAGCACTTTTTTCTGTGATGATTTTTTTATCATAGTATAATAATTATCATTATAGTATGGATTAAAAAACCTATTACAAGTGCCTGTGATCTAGGAGGCAAACAGAGAACAAATTTGTAATATGCGTGCAATGGTATTTTTACCACATTAGTGAAATTCTGGACCATTTGGTCAGGTGTTCTCATGCTGGGCAGAACTCTATAATTTGTATTCTTCGGAGAGAAGTTATTTCCTTTTACTATTCACCTATGATGAGTAATCACTGTAAATAAATGTCATTGGAAGGTCATTTGAATAAGAGAATTATTCAAGAATTTTTGTAATATATAAAAGTTTTTTGTGATTTGCTTTTGATGGTTACATAGATTTGTTTACAAGTATATACATATGAAAATAAGACAAAAAATACCTTATCTTTGTACATTAAATGTTCTTTAAAGACTAAGAGAAGTTATAAATGTGGGAGGAAATGAGGTGGGTCCACTAACAGAGCTCAAACAGTATTAGTTTGCATGGTGATGATGATAAATGGGGGCAAGTACAGGCAAGTAAATATATCTACTTAAAAGATTTGTTAAAAAGTACATGACTACCTAGTTTTGCATGATGATCCCTGATCATTCTCTACTGCTTCATCTACATGTTTCAGTTTATTTCATTTTATTTTATACATCCCTTGTAGGTTGTATTATACTCTGACAGGTCCTTAGGCCTCTTGTTAAAAGACGTCACCACATTTTGCCAAATCTTTATAATCTCTCATTGGAAGAGGGTGTAGTTCTTCATTTGAACAAACTTGGATCTCCTACACCTAAGGATGCTTTGTGGCATTGAGAATGGTTGAAATGTAATCGAAAAGCTCACTTGAGCTTTCAGTTCAGAGCTAAAAAAATCCATCATGTTTGAGTAAGCATCCTACATGTATCAACTTTGTTGATAAGATATGGAAAGGAAAAACAAGAACTAATTTAATAAAAATATCTTTTATTGTTTTATCTTATATGTAGATAAATGATTACTAACAATTAACATTATGATGAATTGACTATTGAGCACAGCAAGTTTACTTTGTAAAGAAAATTCTTGGTACTGTATCTTAATCCCCACAAATACACAAGAGTTCATAATCAGCAATATCATTTTTTCAGTAAATATATCAAAATTTTGAAAAATGAATATATATTGTTTACATTAATGAAATTGAAATGTGTCTACATACCTATAAACAAAACACAAAAAAACTCCTCAATATACATGTACATGTCTATAGAAAAAAAATTGTATTATGTGCAATTTCAAGTCTCCATTATCTACAACTAATATACACTGTACATGCATCCTTGGAGCTTCTTGCTTGACTGAGAATAAAGCTTCTTTCATAACAAGGGTAATTCACACAAGATAATACATATATACTGAAATATACAAATAATTGTCAATGTATGTGATAAAATTTGTATTCTTTTAGGTATCCATTTAAGTTGTATATATCTTCAATAGGTATAGAATATGTGTGTGTAAATGTACACTAAAAATTCAGAACAATTTGTTATATACATGTACATGTTCTTCTTATTAATTAAAATGAGACAAAGAAAAAGCATGTTCTGATGAACAGAAATACATGTACCGGGTGTATACATACATGTACATTTTGCTTTATACGAACATGCACTTTCCATAAGCTCTCTTCAAAATACAATATTTTCATTTCCAAATATTGTTCCTTTTTAAGATTCTTTGCAAAGTAGAAAAAGTTCATGTTTTCATGAACTACCGTGGGATGAATTAAAGAATATTTCCATTGTGAGGTAATTGAAGTAAAAAAAAAAAAAATGCAAACTTTTTTTTCAAAAATGATCGTTGAATGACAAAAATATGTGGCAAGTCATCAGAAAAAATAATGTAAATATAAGATATGAATTTAACTTTTAAGGTACATGAACTACAATGCTTCAGGCCTGCATATTTAAAATGAAGCACTTACGCACTTCAGGAAATATGCCGGCGTGAAGCATCGAAGTTCATGTCCTCACAAATTCTCAAAAATTAAATTCATTTCTTAAATGTAATTTTTAACTGATGATGTAAAAAAAAAAAGCACAATGACAGCTATTTTACAAATTATCAGTAATACAAATAGACTAGTTACCACCAACTTGAAACATTAAATGTAAACAATATCTATTTTACATTTCAAAAATTTTGTTGTAATTTTTCTTTGTTGATTTTTTTAATTGTTGAAGACACATTTTTATTTCCATTTTCATTATATGTCCACAAATTGTCACCATTCCAAATGAAATTAAGAAGATAGTCAACACACTAACTATACTAAAGATTTGACTAAATGCTGAACTAAACTAAAACTTATTTATGACTAGCTAAGCAAAGATATATACATGCATGTACACATACAAGATACTACCAAAGTACTGTATGAAATCACTAAATGTGAGAAAAAATTTTTTGAAACTGCTTATTCAAGGTTCATGTAGCAAAACCCACAGATGCTCTCTTTAAATACTCTTAAAAAAGGTACCTTTCATCATCACCTTTGATCTGTTGATCAATATTTTGGCTATCATCTTCATGTAATTATTCAATATTTTCCTCAATTCCTATGATTTTTATGTCCAAGACCAAAATGGTCAAGCTTACTTTTTACCCCATCTTTCCTGGCATGTTTATCATATAAACATTGCATGTATTTTTTACAACTTTTATCTATCTATTCTGATTGATACTATGGTCCCTGTCTCTTTAAAGTTTCATCACACTATAGACTACATACTTCTAAATGAACTCTTACTTCAGCTATGAAGTTCCGACTTTTTAAGTTGATGTTATTATCTTTAGACTTTTTACATTTCCTGCTGTTACGACTTCTGGTATTTTTTTTCCTTTTCTTGCTTGAGAAATCTTTGAAATCTGACCTTTTTTTTCATTTCTTGCTGATTGAACTTCAGACATTTGCTATTGCATGTATGACTTTGAGCCTTTGTTGGGGCAATGACTTTAAGGCATCTCTTGGAGCTATAAACATCTCTGTCTACTATAGAGAGGATGTAGAATGAGGTAAGGTTTTGTCAGAGCTGATGATTTAATGCTCAGTACACTTTCAATGAAGTATGTTATGAGATCCTTTCTTGGCCATCCCATGCCAAGATATCCATTACATGTGTAATACATGTGAGAGTGTAAATACAGGTACATGTACCTTGTTTTGATGTTCTCTCAATACATGTATTAGTATATAAGTGATATTTCTATGGAATTACCTAAATTTTGGTTAGCATAAAAAGGTTTTGACTTTCTTTTGTATCTTTTTCTTGCATTTGATGCACCTTTTCATTGGTTCAGAGCAGGGTTTACATACTAGCCTATGGCCGCAGGGGGTGAACACAATGACCCTTTCCGACTTCTCGCACTTAACACATAGTAATTGTTTCTTCAATCTCTGGTTTTCCTCTTCAATTATTTCTGGGTCTAATTCTACAAAAAGATATATGTCTTGAATTTAATTGTTTATTATACATTATAAATTTATCAACTAATTGAAAGCTAAAATGAGAATTCTTATAGTAAAATTGATCATTAGTTACTAAATCTGTAGATAGATAAAATTATCTAAAGTATGAACCATCTATTGTTTCTTGCAATGTGCATATAAATAGTCATTCTAACAAAATTTTACTTCATATTAATCAGAATAATCAAAATAAAGCCTAACTCATATCAATGCAAAGGAAGAGTGCTGGATCATGGTCAATCATCATTATTTAATTGAAACAATTTCTTCTAATATAAAAGATGTGATTAGAATACAGGCATATGTATCAATCTTTATAACCATTAAGTATATTATCTTGAACTTACCTTGTTCACTTTCTGATGTTTCTGAAAGATTAAAATATATACATGTAAGAATAAATGCAAATGTACAGAAATTTACCAGGAAGTCTCTGACAAGACTCAGCTCTACTGGTTTCTGACTTTAATTAGCCTGAAGAAAATAAATGTGAATAGCATTCTATTCTAAACCTTCTTTTAGATGTAAACATCATTGTTTGTCCTCTTGTAAATCAGACAGAGAGAAGCAGCACATTAAATCTATAAAATACCTGTAAATGGAACAAAGCTGCCTGGGCCTTGAGAGGAGGGCTTTGATTGTGTTTGGACTTTTGGTTCAGGAGGAAATGTTTCCCCTTTATCCTCCATTTCCAATAAAATTTCCAAAAGATTACTGGTAGTGAATTCATTGTGTCCTGAATTATTGAGATGTACATACATTTACATGGTTTACAAGTGAACATTCTAAAATTAAAATTATTTGTTCCAAAGACTTGTTACATTTAAATTTAAAATACATAGGATTAGTAATATGCAGAAAACAGTGTAAAAATCTGTGCTGTATACAATATACAAGATTATGTACTGAAAAGTTCTATAAGTAACTACCTTTTTCTGCTACAAATTTATCAATGACATGCTGAACTTTGACCCTAGAATAACCCATGCTGATGAGACTCTTGGCAGCTGGTGAATAAAGAGGGTTGTTATCCTCTTCACTGGGCTTTCCAGGACCTAACATAGCAAGGGTAAATGACTTATTACTAAATGATTACCCCTAAAATTCTTAAAAGAAAATAAATCTACTCTCTCAGAAGAAAAGTACAAAGTTAAGCAACATTTTATCATTAAAATTATAATGAAATAGTTGTAGGTGACAAGTGTGTAGAATCATACCCGTAGTGTTAGATCCTGACTGAGGCAAGGAATCCAAATTACCTGCTCCCTGTGTAAATATACAGTGATATACATTTAAGTAACAATTCGATCAGAATAAATCATAAAATATGTTTTTATTGAATGAACTAAAAGAAACTGAGAAACTTTTATAACCATAACTTGCCTTGTATTATAAGCTTTCAAGTTATTTAATGCACTCTTTCAGTTTTCAGTATTGCCATACTTTTTTTCATTATTTAGGACCCATTTACAAACTAAACTAAAACTTTTTCAAGGTCAAACCCAGAGATTATGTTTAGGATTATCGATTTACTTACCATCTCATATTTCTGTTGAATTTCATCAATGAACTGTATGCCTTTGATCTTCATAACAAACTTACAGAATGGAAACCATCTGGCATGCTCTGTCCAAGGGTCATCACCTTAACAAATTTTAAAATTAACAATTAACAACTCTAGTTACCAACAAGTCATTCAAAATACAGGATATACTAATCCAATATAAAGAATCATCATGGCTCATCTTACCTGGTTCCCACTCTCGTAATCCTCCATCACAATAATGACATCGGACTGCATCCTCCTCACCTAGGTCAAAGGTCAAACAGTACTACATCAGATCTGATGCACTTGATGATAAATAACATTATAGTAAAGATTGTCTAGATACGTGTAAAGTCCCTTTTATGCAAGTCTTTAAGAGTTAAGGACTTAAGGACTAATAATAACTTACCTGTGAAGTAAAATCCAGCCTCAGCTATTTGTTTGGGAGTCTGGGTTATGGAAGACGGCCATTGGTCTGTTTTGAAGGATTCTAGTCGTCTGTTAAAATCTTGCATCTGAGGAGTTTTAGGATTATATATCTAAAAGAAATACATGAAAAAATTTTAATTTCAAGACCTCTGATTATACCTGCAGATAAGTAGCTTTTTTTATACATATACATTGTATATAAAGTATAATATAAATAAAGTTTCCAACAATGTTTTTTTTTTGTCACTGTGAAGTTAACATTAAATTTTGTTGAATCCTGATGATATAATCTGTTTAATAAGCAGATTTTTGTAAAACCAGTAATCGTGTCAATAATAAGAAGATAAATTTCCTTAATCTATCATAAATTCATCATCAATTTTTTTTCAACTTACTTTTCTCCATTCTTGTTGTACACGGTTAATGAAGTCCTGTCCTTTCATTTTTTTGAGATATTTACAGTGTGGCGAATGTCTTGCGTGTTCTGACCAAGGGTCATCAGTTTCGTCCCATTCAGCCAGACCAATATCACAGGCAAAGCACCTGACAATGTCCTGCTGTCCAGTAAAGAAGAACCCACACTGCACCAAGATGACCTTGCTCTGTTTATCATTGAAGGGCCAAAACACGAATGTTTTTAGTCTGGACTCCACTGTTTTGTAATCTGGATGCCTTATAGAGTAAGACTGTTCTTCTTCTGCAGCTGTGGCATCAAAAAATGATGCAGTTGAAGAAGAATTCTTTATTTTACTTGGTTCATGGATGGATATCCCTGGAGATGGGGAACTTTCCATTTCCTCTAACCCTGCAGTGGCACTGCTGATTTCTTCTCCGAACAGTGAATGAGGTTGAAGGTTGGGTTCACCGAGCATGGTCATGTAGCTTAAGGAGTCTGTGCTCTCGGTCTGAATTGGAAGTCCTTTTGAATCTGACACATTTTCTGTTAGATAAGAAGGATTTTTCTGAGAGTTGTATCCACTGTCATATTTAAGGTAAGTTTCTTCATTTTTATTGATGAAGAAATCTCGTGTTATGTTAGATATTTTGTTTTCCTGTTGCACATTGATATTTTCACTAGACCCTTCATTGTATGGGTGAAAGATATTGCCAGTATTTGAACTATTTTTCTCACTTATTCCCAAATCTTTCAATTCAGGCAGCGGATTGGTATTCTCCTGCTGTATGGCACTATGGAAATTTGAACTGAAGATACCAGTGTTCATTTCACTCTTTGATTTAAGAAATGGTAAAGCATAACTTCCTACACCTTCCTTGTCTCTCTTCTGTTGGAGAGCATGAGAACAATTTTCTGACAATCTTAGATGCATGTTCAGAACAGTATCACCTCCAAGGACAGAACTTATTTCTGTAGTTTCAATATGAAGTTTACAGGCATAACATGCTACAGAAGATTTCTGAACATCGAAGTAAAAGCCGGAGTCCACTAAACGTAATGCAGACACTGGTGCACTCAATGGCCAGTCCTTAAAGGAAGCCAGACGATTGAAGTGGTTTTCCATTATTCCATTCACTTCATGAATGAAAGGATATGCCATAATTGTTGTGGATATTCCGAAATATCTAAACATGGACAAAGGTTCAAATGTTACTATATCCTCTGGCATAGTAACATGTCTTGGAAGTGGTTTGGAGTTTGCCAGCAGCTTCACTCGAAGATGATGCTTCTTGTGTATAACTTCATTTAAAGCTACAGTAAGAAATGGTAACATAACCTCATCATTTGTGAATTGTATTCCAAGCTCATCTCTTATTGAGCTCTTGCTTTCAAGTATAGAAAATAGAGGTGGTCTATGCAAAGGTGGAACTGCAGATCTAGGTACTTTGTGTATTGATTTCATTGGCCAATTTGCTTCCTTAGATAAATCTATTTTAGATTTACGTATACTTATTGCTTCAGAGTATTTTTCTTTCTTGATTGCTTTTTTGTCAGATTTTGAATCACCTGTTTTAGCATTCACTTTCCCAGCTTTTATATCATGAGATTTTGATTCTTTTGTAACGGTTTTCCTAGCCTTACACATATAATCAAATTTTTGCCTTTTCTCCTTCTCAGTAAAATTTTTAGACTCTGTAGAATTTTTAGATACAACATTTTTTACATCATCAAAAATATCCAAGATGGAACTTTGGAAATTTTCATAATCCTCTTTCACATTAAATTGCATAAAAGTCACCTTTTTATCACATTTTACAAGATCCATGCTCTGATCTGTTTTTATGAAAGCATTCAATGTTCTCTTTTTAATGGAAAGGTTTGAAAATTCAGAATAAAATTTGACAATTTCTAACACTTCCTTCAGGTTTATAGTCACTGTCATCATATTCAAAAAAGCTACCATGCATTTATCACTGCATTTTTCTGCCATGCTCTTTTCTAAGAAGTACATCAACTCATCTGGATTAAGATTTCTGTGCTTTACTTTTTCAAGCAAGGATAATTTATCAATGTCTGCATGGATTAGTGAGTAATCAAAGACCAAAATGCTCATTTGTAACAACAGTTTGTTAGTTCCCGAAAGTCCAACAGACATAAATTCCTCTGTATGTTTGTCATGTTTGTCATCGCTTAATATCTTAAGTAAATATGATTCTGTATCTCTACCAATGGCTTCAGTGAATTCAGCATCAGTAATGAGTGAAACATCTTTGGAATTACCATCAAGCTTCATTTTAGTACATATTTGACTTGCCTTAAAGAAAAAGCAAGCTAAATCAGAAAACTATTTAACATTGATATCTAAATTTAATTGTGTTAATCATGTTAATTAACAGTTAATTGACAATTAAGAATATTATTTACAGACAAATACATAAATCAATATACAAAGCTTTCTAATATCATTTTTAATTAAATTGTCATGAATGGAAATGAGAGAACAGGATTAATTAAATGCAATCATCAATTAAAGTATCTAGAATAAGGTTCAAGTATCATAGAACAATTTTTATTAATTCAAAACTCTAAAAACCTCCACTTTTAATGTCCAAAAATTTGGTAACATTCATGACATAATTCAAAATGAACTAAATGTACTTAAATATCGTTGGTACGAGTTATGGCCCTATAATACACATATATCATATACATATATATATATATTTGAAAGTGTCTTTTCCCCTTCATTTACTTTCCTAATCTTTAAGAGTTACAAAGCAGTCCCGCAGCTTTTCCTATGCATAGATTTTATTACATGTACTAGAAGCCTTAAATTCATTGGAAAACATGTAAATCTCATTTTCTGAAGGTTGCATTGTGGCAATTTTAGCTTTGAAAAAACTCAGAACCAGCAAGTAATAATCTTATTAAGTTGAACAATGATGAAAATGTTATAATTAAGCTTCAACAGTTAAATGAACCAAATTCATGATATCAAATTTTACTTCTGATAAAAATTTATTTATCTCTAATCTTTAACAAACTCAATGCCAATTCCAATTGTGATTGAATAACCATTCATCAATTACACTTACCTGCCTAAAAAGGCTGCTATCATTATCAGATATTCCTTGTACAACCATCTTTTGTTACATCTAAATAAAAAAAAAACATAGACTGTAATTCGGGTTGAAATCTGCACATTTCAACAATCTCCTATGCAGAGTTGTCGTTCGTTCCTCTCTCAGACACCTCTGCAATGGGCTCACATCAAGATTTTTGACATAACGTAAAAAACATAATATTTCAAGGATTATTTCATATTAAACTAATAGTTTTAGATCTATTTAGTAAATATCTATCCTTAAGGACTATCATTAGCTCAGATATTTAATTATAATGAATTAAAAGAAACGCACTATTTCTCGTGCTTATCACTGCGATATACGCGAGCCAATGACAGAGGTGAATGTATGAGCCGATGGTAGAGAGTGATTGTTCAAAGAAATTTTTATCGTCCCACGTGAAAATATTCCATACTCCCAATAATCCTTTGTGGTGCATAGCAACATGGTGGCTTAAGCATAGCATCAACTTACTTGATAAAAATAATACACAATGATTATAATTACAATTAAGGTGCTATGCTTATGTCATCTTTTTATATATGTCAGCAACACAAGAAAGTCCAACTGTATATTTTATCCTGCAACCACCGCTTGCATTGACCAAGTAAAGGTAGTCCAATAAATCTAAGCTATATAATAAATCATTCAATAGCTTAATATTATTAGTTATGTAGACACTTAAAGGAGTAATGCAGGAATATTGGGGGTCGTTAAAAAAAAAGCATGTTGGACTAGGCATCATTGTTTACATTGTGATGTCATCTGTGAGCTGATGCTTGTGTGACCTGTTTTCAGATTCCTTGTGTGATCAAATGAAAACAACATATGGAAATTGATATTTGGACAGTAGGGTATGTGGAGGGGGTACATGTATATTTATTTGTCAATTGATATCTGGTCAGTTGGGCACTTAGAGTGGGCATTCTATTTACAATATTATAGTAGGCAGCATGATAATAGTTTTATACAATATAAAGCCACTTGCATTTCTATGTCTTTAAAAGCATTGTGAGGCCAAGCTTAAAAAATTCTTTGTTTGCAGTTGCCGACCTATAATTTTTAGAGTGGGCAGGTAAACGAGGTTCGCTCCTGAGCTTTTGAGCAGATTTTTGTCTTAACCTATATTTCAAAAATTCTGCATAATGTTTTAATTCTTACAATAAATTTGGATTCTACAATGCCAATTTAACTATATTTAGTTAAAACTCCATGATTAAATTCAATACCAAAAGTATTGAATGAGGAACTATATTTTGTGGCGGAAGGTTTTTTAGAAGAAAATGATCATTTTTTCTCTTTCGAAGTATTAAAAGTATGTTAAGTTTGGATTCCTATTTTTACATACAGTCTGCACCTAAAGTTAATTTGTGTAGTGGGTTGTTTTATACTGGTCCTAAATTATCTATAAAATAAACTGTCATGAATTCTATCATCATATTTGATAAATATAGCAAATATATTGTGAAAATGAAGAAAAAAAAATAGCCCTAATTTAAGCTTAAAATTAGCACTATTTTGGTAATATCTAAAAATTAACATCACAGACCCCAACTTTTAATTTTCTTGTATAAATATATACGATACTTTTAACCATTCTTCTTAAATTCAGTAAAATGTCATTACTTTTAACAGTCAGGGGTGAGACTGAAATCCGTCATTTCTGAAAATGATGGATAATCGTCATATTTACTAAATACGTATTTTCGTCATTTTTGTCAATATGACTTACTATCGTCATATTTTCTTTTTCAACTTAATTCTTCTATCCTGGTTACATAAAAGCGAAATTTGAATTCACCGCTGAAAGAAGAGTGTTTACGCAAGTTTCATTTCATCCGGGTCACTAATTACTGCCGACCATGTGCGTTAGAACATCAACATGGAAGGTGAAAATTATTATTTAGCGGTAAAATGTCGAATTTTGGTAGAACTAATTCGCCATTTTTACATGGCTTTTAAACCTATAAAAACATATAGTACACCGTCTGGAAGAATACGTACTTGTAGAGAAAAGTCTCGACAAAAAGTTAAAGCCATAAAAAAGTAGTGCGCCCCGTAAAACAAGCGAGATATTTCAGTGCGCCCAGACCCTCCATTTTGAAAAAAGACGGCATATCGTCATTTTCGTCTTCTTTCCTATTTAATGCAAATAAATTGACAAATAACTCTTCCACTCTTATTTTGCTTAGGAAATTTGTACTGTCGACATAACCAGTATTGTAGTCAACTGTATTAGAGAAATGAAGTTTGTTTACGATGTTTTTTGTCCTTTTTTCGGTTGGTGGATCTAACATTTTTCAAAGAGAGGTAACTCGGTATTCTAGAAACATTCTAAATTTTTATGACTGTTTTTCGTCATTTTCTTAAAAATGACGAGTTTAAGTCATAATAAAAATTTTATTTTATGACTAAAAATCGTCATTTTAAAAATGACGGATTTCAGTATCACCCCTGACTGTTTAAATGATTTTTTTGCTTGTTAAATTTTTAATGCCTGAAAAATGAAAATGTTTGAGTGCAAAAAGGTCAAATAATTGAACATGCGGAGTAATTTGAAAATTTCTTCGTTGTCACAAATTTTAATGTGTCTATTTAAGATGAAATAAGACTGTTTTTGTTCCCATAATTTATTTGAACAAAAAATATTGGAGGAAAAACTTTAAAAATTGATTTATGTGTAAGACGTATTTACAGTGCAAAAAGGTCAAACTAAATGCTCTGTAGTGCCAAAAGAAGCGCATTGACCCCCATTTTTCGTTTTGATTTTAATAAAGCTATGTGTATAAATTCTAAAAATATACTTGATAAAAAATTCTCATTACTTTTGATGGCAGGATCCAACCTCCTTATAAGGAAGGTTTTGGGTTTTTTTTTTTTAAAGTAAGTTTTCAGATATTTGTTAGATAACAAATAATAGAGCTTTTCATAGGCCTACTAAACAAGAATAAGCTCCACTCTTGTAATAAACCACTGATTGATAAAAACAAAAATTAAAAAATGAAACAGTTTTAATATCCTGAAAAATCAAAAAAAAAAAAAAAAAAAAAAAAAAAGGCTGAAAAAAAGTTAGGGTCGGGTGCATTTTCAATGGGTTGGTAGGAAACTGCAAACAAACAAATTTTTATTTTAGGCCTGATGTCATCTAGCTATGTTAAATGCCAAGGCACAAAGGCACTTGTTTCGTATACGGGGCACTCATAGTTTCAGCTTCAGAGATGTGTAAATCTGTGTTAACTATAATTTTGCATTCTATATAATAAAATTTTCACAGCCCTATATATTGTTTTGATGGGGATTTATTACTGCGCTGTTATCATGGTTAGGGCCTATTGTTAAATAGTCTACAAGAATCTTGATTTTTATACTACACTTTACCCTACCAGGTGTATATATATACATGTACTAAAAGTAGTACTTAACCAATCAACCCAAACAATAACATAAGAAAAACAACACTAATAAATAAATAAATTTAAAGTTCATCAACTCTATCATCTGCTTCTTAGAAATGAAGTTTTCTTCCATACTGGAATTACCCACTTTCGTAACTGACGTAACACTTTATTTAGAACGTGTCACTATGGCATTATACGTACAGGTTTGAAGGGTGTCATTCCAAAAAAAAAAATGAGAACTACAATTATTTGGATATTGCTGTATCATATCAAAGGACTGTTTGTATATATATTTATCAGCTCAATACACCACAAAACTTCAACAGTGACTTACGTTCTAAGGTCGTATGTGAAATGGTGAATATTCCTCACATTTTTCCAATCTCGAGGTTTGGAAATACCCTTTACTAAAAATAACCGAGATCTCATGCATTCTCTATCCAGAGTTGTCGTTCCCTCTACGATCCCACGTAGCGGAAGACAATCATCACGAGCTCATGCGCCACAGCGATCGATGAACTTGCTTTTGGGGTTTTTTGTTTCGGTGTGTGTGTGTCATTTTCTTCTTTTTATGGGGGGGGGGGGGTTATTCTTCACTGACATCTTACCTTATTAATCTGAACGATTCATTTATATCATTCAAAATGCACAAACACAAAAGCTTATTATTGGGAAAAATAATTTCCAGGTCATTGCAACTGATAACTTCCTGAATTTGAAATCAGAACAGTAGCCAAACTTTTTTTTAATAAATGCAAAAAAAGAAGAAA